CGCATCAGGGTATAGAGCACAGCCAGCTCTAGTGATGGGTACACTGAAGAGACAGAATCAAGATCTACACTATAGATCTGGAACACCACCCTCCAATCTACAGGGATGGGACATCACCCTCCACTCTACAGGCCTGGGGTGCCACCCTCAATTCCACAGACCTGGGGCACCACCCTCCACTCTACAGGCCTGGGGCACCACCCTCCACTCTACAGGCCTGGGGTGCCACCCTCAACTCTACAGGCCTGGGGCACCACCCTCCACTCTACAGGCATGGAGTGCTACCCTCCACTCAACAGGCCTGGGGCACCATCTTCCTTATGTCCCAAGGAGCTGCAGAGATCCTCAAACAGCCTTAGTCCACAGACAATTTCACAATCATTTTCCCCAACCAGACACATTCTACCCCTTTGCATTCCTCACCAGGCTGACTTGATGACTATTTGATCTTTTTATTATTTTTTGAAACCTCTAAAAATAACCCATGAAGACTGAAAGACGTTCAATTCAAACTATTCATATTGACATTTCTATTAAAGTCAAAATCTCTCTTCACTCCTATCAATGCAATACCTAGAAGAAGCCCCTATTAATATTTAACCATATTCTCCCTTATTCCCTACATTTATAATTATAAGAGTAGATGTTTACTTTATTTACATTACATGAACACAAACACACAAATGCAGAGGAGAAAGAGAGGGAGAGACAGAGACAGAGAAACGAATTTTGCAAGAAGTTCCAAAACTAAAATGCTGAGCCAATGAGCATATGCTTTGTAAATTTTTATAGCAACTACCACAAAGCTTTATGTAAAATGTTCCCATTTTTCCACAAAGAGAATGTACTATTTTATATAACCAAAAGCTAATGTAAAGACTTATATAAAGTACAATCTATACACTCACCAGGAGAGTAAGGTTTCTACTCTCGTTTCTTATAAATAAGAATTGCTAAAGAAAGGGAAACTGTGAGCCCAGAGGATAATGTGTTTGTCTTTTCCAACAGGAAAAGATAAATAAAACAGGCATGACTTCCATTCTTGACCTCAACTCTGATTTTATTTTCACTTCCAACAGTTATATCTTGTAGAGTATTATAAACTAAGCATCCAATTTCCTTCAACAAATGGAAAAATGTTTATATATTCTACGAAAATATGCAGAATGTACATTTTAAAGTAGTGACTACAGTATGCCTCACCCCAACTTGAGTTCTGGCTGAGACTAAAGCAAAGAACGACAACATATGCCTAGGAAACTCTCCATGCACCTGCATGAGCTGTCAAAGGACCACAATCTGTATGCAATGGGCACAGGCCTAACACTCTCTGAGAAACTTTGTTTCCCACACAAAATTTTTCTATACAAAATTTTGCATGTTTCCTATGCAAAGAGTGTAATATTTTGAAGATACAGCATAAATGTCCTAGCTTTAGAACAGCTCTGAAAATAGCTCATACCTTTCACAAATGTTATACAAAAGTGTGTGTGTGTGTGTATGTGTGTGTGTGTGTGTGTGTGTGTGTGTGTGTGTGTGCATTTGAGAGCAACAGAGAGAGACAGAGAGAGAGAGCTCTTTTCATGTATGGGATGAACATATAAACATATGCTCAAACATGGACATTATAAGGACAAATCTATGGTATTATTTCTAAGAGCCATCATCCTTGTGATTTGCTTTGTTTTATTTTGCTGAGTCATTGGTTTTGTCAGACAGACTCCCACAACCCTGGTACTCCTGGAATAGGCCAGAATGAATGAGCAAAGAGCCCCAGGTATCCACCTCTCTCTCTCTTCTCTCCCCCAAAAGCGAGATTACAGATGTGTAATTGGATTTGAGTAGCAAGCACTTTACTGACTGGACCATTACCCAAGCCTCATACTTTTCATTTAAAAAAAAAACTCTCATTTTCTGGATTTTTTGAACTGGCATGAACCCAAAAAATTTACCTGAGTAATCTAAATGCTGCTTTATATGATTGAGCGTGTTTAGTAACATTTAGCAGCACAACATGAAAGAATGTAGATGTGATCATCTGAAATACTTACAGCAAAAATGTTATCACATTAACAAAATCCTTTTCAAGAGGGGCCTGAAATAAACAGTGCACATCAGAGCCATCCTTTGGCGAACAAGGAGGACCCTTATGCATGACTAGTGCAAGAGAGTCCAGTGATTCATCTGACTCTGGGAGGTTGCTGCTTTACCTCTACTGTTGGAACAGAGAAGAGACCCTGAAGGTGAGAACAGCCTGGGTTCTGATCTCAGCACACGCCTGGCCTTTCACAACTGTCTTCAACTCCAGTTCCAGCGGATCAGATGCCCTCCTCTGGATCTGAGGGCACTCTCAGCATGCTTACAGTGCACATGCATACACACACACACATATCTTTCAAAGATAGTCTAAAACCAAAAAGCAACAACAAAACCACCAGGCAATTTTAATATGCACAAAGGTTTCTGGACTTGCCAGACTCTACATGCCAGAAGAAGTCCAATCTTCTCATCTCTGCCTCTTTAAGTCAGCCAGGTAGACATAATCTGCATGTTTCCAGTCACTATCCCCAAGGTCTTCCAACTTACTCCTTCTAATCTCCTGGAGGCTGAAAATATCTACCAGGCAAACTTGCTAAACTTGGATATAAAATGAAATAAAACCATGTTGAACAAGATCTGAGTTCATCTGAATGCGCTTGGATACACTAGTTACTTAAGGGCACGAGGGATAACAGTTTAGCATCACTTATAGAGGTGAGCAAAAATGCTTGTTAAATAATCCAACTACCTCAGTGTTAGGTACTTACCCATGGAAATGTACACACTAAGACACGATCATCAATATTTATGGCAGCATCATTCATAATTATCAAGACCTGGCAAGAGGCCAAACATCACTTCAAGAAACTAAGTGTGTGGCATGCACTGAATGGAATACCATTCAGTGGCGAACACTGTCACCTAGGAACCCAACAAGTAAAACAGGTTTGCAGAAAAGCTCTATACCATTTGATTCCATTTATGTGGCATTCTGGAAAAATGCAAAATAATTAGGGCAGAGGTTAATCGATGACTGGTAAAAGTTAGGATGGGGAGAAGGAACACACTACAAAGAACACTTTCAAACTACTCTCAAAATAAATTTAACTACCTACCAGTTATCCTTCAATAAACCCTGACACTAAAAGTAAGAGGTTTCCGTAACGTGCAAGTTTTACATGATTCTCCAATACATGATAATTTCTTGGCTACATAGTCTCAGAGTCAAGAGGAAAAGTCAATGGTTATCCTGTGTGTCTGATCACCTTCAGTGATCACATCTCCGGAGCTCCATCACTTCACCTTTCATAGCTCATCCAGAATGCTAATTTATAAAAGAAAATCAATAAAACAGTGTGTACAAAAACAGCATGAATGTACAGGTACACACATATGGATAAATACAGAGAGCCATGCAAACATATCCCTTTGGCCTCCCGCCCATTTCTTCTAGTTTACTTTAGCAGGGTGGGTGTCCAAATGCACTATGAATTTCTGAAGAACTTCTCTTCCTAAAGACTAGACATTTTAGCAGTGTTTTCAGCCTTTTAAAGTGCATCTTGGAAGCAGGAGAGATATCTCATCAGGTAAAAGCATGTGAGGCTCTTGAAGAGGACCCAAGTTTGCTCCCAGTGTCTGTGTTGGATGGCTCACAACCACCTTCAATTCCAACTCCAGGGGATTCAATGCATTCTTCTGGCTTCTGAAAGCCAGTCACAAGCACAAACCCACATACAGATACAAACATATACACAAAATTGGAAGCAAAATAATGTTTATTGAATGAATTAGACATGATACGGCTACTTAATACCAGCACATTCCCCCATCATCCTTTTAAATCATTGTAAATGGAAGTTTCTGTCTTGCCCAGTCCCGCAGCCATTTAGTCCCAAATAAATACACAGAGGTTTATATTAATTATAAACTGTTTGGCCAATAGCTCAGATTTCTTATTGGTTAGCTCTCTCTTAATTATTAGCCCATTTTCTATTAATCTGTATATCTCCACATGGTCTAGGCTTACCCATGATGCCCAGGCCTCTTTCTTCCTTGGTGGCCACATGGCATCTCTCTCTAGACTCACGCTCTGAGCCTCTTCCCAGAATTCTCCTCGCTTTGTAACCCTGCCTATACTTCCTCCTGGCTCCATCCTGCCTGTCCATTGGCCAAAAGAGCTTTATTCATCAACCAATACAAGCAACACATCCTTGCAGCATAGAAGAAGGAAGCCCCACATCATCTCGTTCTCCAGTGCCTAACTATTCAGAGATCACTGGGTATGAAACTGCTTTCTCCAAAGACAACGGCCTTTAAGTTAAAGTAAGAAACTACAAGGATTCAAAGAGCAGACACTCACATCAATACAGTCCTGAAATGCTAAAGAGCCAGAAGCTGTGTCTAATGATTCCCCACCAAACTCTTGAAGGCACACAAGCAACTATATGAGCACCAACACAGGCATGGGAGCAGGAGCGACTAAAGGATGCCAAAGTATTGTGTACTTTTAAGTTGGAATTCACAGTACAACGAAACAGAGAAGGGTCACATGTGCAGCAAAGTACAACTATGTGAACACTGTTCTCCGTCAGCTACTGTATTTATGAAACCACACAACTAGAATGTATTGCACATTACTTCAGCAGTTTTGGGAGATAACTTTTTATTAAAATACCCCTCCAATTTGAGCAACATTTCTATCATATATTCTGAAGTACTGTTCCCTAAGAACTCCTAAAGCTTCTAGGAACTTCACAAAGAGGAAAACACATGAAATCACCAAACATTTCAAGTAATTTAAGTATGCTGCAAACATAATCACAACTCCAACCTGTGGCACACACAACTGTCACCATACATGGACATCACTTTCACACATTCATCTATGTAATTTTTAACACACACTATGACGTTACGTGCATATAATGGGTAACCAAGAGAAACAGCTAAATGTAACTTACCAGACTAAATCCCAGATGATGTCACTGTGCAATTTCCAAAGAGTCCCGAGGGAACACAGGCATAATAATGTTTCTGTTCTCCTCCAGATACTAAACATGAGAGGCAAAAATAAGGCTGTAATTTAACGAGTACCACAATTTATAAAGCAATTATATTAATTCTAACTGCAAAAACAGAATGACAGTCACACGAGGAACTAAGGCTGGGTACAGGCTACATAGGACACAGTAACTAACTAATTCAGCTAAAAAGCTGTTTTGAGTTAGTTTGACTAAGTGGATCTCCAAAACATCGTACTGCGCTTGTTGTGCTCTGTAAACTCTACCTAGAAACTAAGAGTATTGAACTAGGCTAAGTAAAATCACTTGAAAAACTGAAGGCACAAATTATGGTTTTACTGTCCCATTCCTGTTGGTGTGTTCAGAAGATTGTATGGAGGTGGGGGTGGGGAGCAATGCTGAGGCAAACACAAAAAGACTAGATCTTAGCTGGAGCCATGCTAAGAATTCTTCCTCCTGACCTTGCATAAACAGCAACCTCTAAAATGAGGCCAATCATACCACTGTCCCTCCATAACACAGGTTATGTGGATCGAGGGAACTCAGGTAGATGAATGTGATTTGCATGCTCCACAGATGTGTGATCTTATTATTATGCAATTAATTTTGGTGTCTACTCATTTGGATTCTAAAATAGCAACAATAAAAATACCCTTTGTTAGACTGCTGGAGGCAAAGGACTGGAAGGCACTTGAAAGTGTGTGTGTGTGTGTGTGTGTGTGTGTGTGTGTGTGTGTTTGTACATGTGCATCCAACCATGCAGGCACATGTGGAAGCCAGAGGTTAACATCAGGGTTATAATATTCTTCTATTCACCTTATTTATTTTCGTACTGGGGAGCGAACCCAGGATCTTGAACATCATAGGCAAGAACTCTGCCACTAGGCCATACCCTAGGTCTCTACTTTATTTTGTGAGATGCTAAGGAGTCACTGGGATCCTCCTGTCTCTGCTGAGAAGACGACTCAGGTCATCATTCTTACACAGTAGGCATTTCACCCATTGACACACCTCCCGCCTCAGAAAACACTTTCAATAAGACAGACGAACCAACCTATTCAAGGTGTCTAGCATCTATCTCTTCAATGTCGTCCCCCTCCTAACACGGAATTAAAAGCGTCTATCTTTAGCTCTTGCATCCCCAGTTAATTGGATTAATTTGTTAAGACAAACAAACAAACAGAAACCTCCTCAAAGTCCTTTTCAACCTGTACAGCTTTCATAGGTTTCTATGTTTTCAATGTGGTACCCAACATAAAGTGGGTAGGTGTTCATGAGAGTGGACAGGATTCATTTCATCTACATAGGTGTGTGGAGCCCGAAAACATAGGGAAGTGCTATACACCACCTTCTCAGACTAAAGACAAACAGCAAATGAAACAGGCCAAGAGATGCTGTGTTGTTGTTTTTCTCCCAGCACAGAGGAATTTCAGCCAAAGGAAATGGATAATTTACTGAATGCAAGGTATTCTGCTTAATAACCAGAAGTGGCTAATGTAGCAAAACCATCATGGGAAGAACCCTGATGCCACCAGCCATGAGAACATCATCCACTGCAGAGAACAGTCATGTTCCATTTAATTCATTTTAGCCCCAACTATGTTTACATTTAGAAAACAAGCAATCTGCATAATTAAGACTTGGACCTCCCTCACCAATGAGGCCTTTGGTCTTAACAAAAACTGACGTGTAGTGAAACACAATGTGCTTCCTAATGATAAAAATACTTGCTTCATATAATTATCCCCTGAAGAATCTACAGAATATTGCCAGGAAAATTTATGCTGGCATACTAAACAAATAGATTTGTAAAGGGCAATGGGAATCAAATGAAACCATTTTTCAACTCGTATATTTCAAAAGACATAATTTATGTGATATAATCTTTACTCCTTGAAGAAAATATTATTACCACCACTTTGAAGCATTCAGTTAAATACTACTACTCCAGATCAGTGCAGGAATCCACACACCAACTAGCCTGCCTCCAGGGTCCACTTGCTCATCCTCAATCTTGTGTATAAGCACGGCTTTGTACACGATAATCATGCTCACAAAAACACATATCCATCAATTTCTGTGGGTGTTTCAGGAGGTACTTTACATACAAATTTCTATTACCTCATTTGTGAAATGACTGGGGGGGGTTATTACTAGTTCCAAGGTGACTTTAGACTTTTTAAATGTTAGGCTTTTACAGTATGAAGACAGAGACAACCTGAGGTCAATCCCTAGAACTAAAACACATTCTCACTCTCTCTCTCTCTCTCTCTCTCTCTCTCTCTCTCTCTCTCTCACACACACGATAAATATTTTTACAATAATAGATAGCATGCTAGATAGTTTTATTGGGCTGTAGAAAAGTCAGTAGGCTATTTTTCTTAGTTAGTGATTGGTGGGGGAGGACCCAGCCCACTGTGGATGATGCCATTCCTGGGCTGGTGGTCCTGAGGTCTTAAAAAAAAGAAGCAAGCTGAACAAGCCATGAGGAGGAAGTCAATAAGAAGCATCCCTCCCAGGCCTCTGCATCACTTCCTGTCTCCAGGTTCCAGCACTGCTTGAGTTCCTGTCCCAACTTCCTTCAGGGATGGACGAAGATGTGAAAACTTAAGACAAGGAAACCCTTCTATGCCCCAGTTGTTTTGACCACGGTGTTTCACCACAGCAACAGTAACCCTAACTAAGGCAAACAGCACAGCGGGAGAATCTCCAACCACTGTAGGCTACTGGGTGTTCTACAGTCAGATGCCAGGGCTACGCTACTCACAAAGTGGAAGAAATTTGATACAGACTCTTTAAAAATTAGATTGAAAAGCAAAAGAAAACGTTAGAAAAATGTCAATGCCTTATTTCTGCCTTACACGCTGCCTTAATTCTGAATCAAGACGATTTTGAAAGTCTTAAATTTCATTTCCACTTTCATATAATTTATGCCAGGTACTTGGTGGCATATTCTTTCCAAGAGTTTAGATGCACTAGCAAAACATTTATACTTTCAAATATGTTTTAGCACCAATAGAAAGGACTGGTTTAAACCCTCGGCTAAAACTGGAAGCAGGGAAACCTTAAAGCAATTACCAAACATCACTGAGCTGATGAAGGCGTCTAGGAAATGTTCTGTAATTTCATAATGATCAAAGTGTAATGACTGATTATCCCTGGTTTGCCACTGCCAAGCCAAAAATAGAATGGATCCCTCAGCAGTGACCCAAGGTGAGCCAAGTATAGAAGCTTCTGCCTGGTCCTCATTTTCACTCCTGAAGTTGTTGTTTGTGTGTAACTTAGCACCAGCTAGACACAGGCGCCAGGGAAGGGTCGATGACACAGTGAAAAGAGAGACAAAAAAATAAATAAATACAGCAGAGCCAAGAAATAGTGTACCTACATACCTACTTCCGCAAGACTGCATGTAGAACAACCTACTGCAAATTATAGTAAAGGTTTTACTACCATCTCCCCAAATAGAAATTAAAAGTTGTAATAAAGTCACCCAAAAATTTAACTTGCAAATAAAACCATTTTTAGAATACTTCTTAAATCTATAGATTTTAATCTATAAATCCCTAACACCTAGAAATGACTTTGGTTTTACCTTGGCGTTGGAAGGCTTAGATCTTGAATGGGAAAGACAGTTTAGAACTTCTAAAGACACAAAAAAAACAAGCATAGAAAAACAGACTAAAGTCAATAAAGGCAAAGCTTGAAGATACAATGTTTCCAACACCAAGAGCTGAAACAAACAGAAAGCTCTATGACATTACTCTGTAAATAATGTGGACAGGAAACTCAAACGGAGCCAAGTACAGCCAACCGCCACTGGCAGGGAAGTCAAAAGGAAAAAGACACATCCAACAGTGACTGCGAGGAGGGGGCCACGCGTAGAAAAGTTCCCAACATGAACTGATAAGTGATACACATCATACAGTCAATGCAATAAAGCCCCTCAAGAAGTACATCTAGTTCATAGTTAATACCTTGTCGCAATTGTTTGCAGAACCTCTTGAATCTTCAAATATCCTCGGATGACAAATGTATTGTTACCCTACCCCAAAGTAATATAAAGTCGTAAAGAGATATATATATATAGGTTTTATAAAGGGAAAGAAATCTTTCTACTTGTGTACTTTGGAAGACGTATCCACCCAGCCATTCACTCAATGACGTATTGGGTCATTCCATTTCTTGAGTAAGTAGAAGCAGTCGGAGCAAGCATAAAGTGTAACGCCATGCCAGAGGAAATGCAAACTTCATATGTGCAACAGCAATCTGGGCAACACCAGCAACTCCAAAGCTTTCTTTTTTCCACAAAACAAAGAAAGCTTTACGTGGAAATGTTCATTGCTAACCAAATTCTTTACTCTTAGTTCCTAAATCCCTATACTTCAGGCATCAACCCAGATCCACTAACTAAACAGCAAGAAAAAAAGGCAAATGTTAACTCTGTGTGTGTGTGTGTGCATACATATATATGTGTGTGTGTGCATTCATATGTATGGCTATAAATCTGGAGGCACTATGAATTTTGATAAATTCTGCTAATTACTAAAAATGGTACTAGGAGAAAACAGAATTTCTTAGGGGAAAAGAAATAGAGTTACTAAGTGATGAGTTTTAATTCTCCTAAAATCTGGGTGGTGGAGTGGGAAGAAAGTAAGACTTTAAGGAAGGATCCTGGAGCAGGGGAAATTCCATTTCTACTAGTGAAAATCCTTTGTAATCAAAATATTTTCTGCTCTCAAGGACTACTCTAAAAAAAATAAATAAGGGGCCAAAACATTCCTCAAGTAGAAAAACACTGAACAGGAATAAAATGGCTCAGCTGACAGATTACAGCACTGAGTGGAAAAGAAAATGCTTAGCCGAAGCCATGGGCTCTCAGCATGGAGACCACATCTGACCTTCTTATCTTTCCTCGGTTTGTAAAATTAAATCACTAAGGGTTCGGATGGGCAGTTATTAAGTGCAGTGTGATGTTTTAAAAACTTTCTTTGACCTTACCAACAGACCATCCACCTTCCCAGCATGGTAAGGCAGCCCGTAACTGGTTTGGTAAGACACAAATGTGTTCCTCTTTCTAGTATCAGTTCTCTTAATAGCAACTCCCTGAAAGCGCCCGGCATTCATTTTGTTTCCATCTCTGCCAGTTAAAATCAAACCCACGTTACTACATCATATTCAGCTTCACTCCAAACATATCTGGCAGTGGCTGAAGCCACAAGTCTACGCGAAGTCTTTACAAGAACCCCTCCCCCCCCTCTTCTGGAAGCATAACCACAAAGGGACAGATGTCTATGGTGGAGGTGATGTATTTTCCAAAGGAAAGCTGCAAACTAGGTACTCGTTGAGAAAATAACCGAGGCTACAAATCAGTAAACAAAAATTAAATGGTGTTTATAAACTATTGTTGCCATCACAACCAGTCACTTTTAAAACTTAATGTTAAGGTTCTCCTCAAGAACACCAAACACATAATGGAAGCTAATTGGCTGTTAGTAATGTCAGTGAGTAACCCTTACCCCCTGGGAGATTTGGTGCTAACTGTCCCATTTACAATTAAATAAACATACCAAGACAACAATTTATGCACCATTTCTTACCAAACTTAAGTGGTCTCAGTGCTCATTCATGAATGCTTACATTTCATCCTGTCTGTTTTGTTTATAATCCAAAGTACCATAAAAAATATCATCTGAATGTCCATTCATTAAAATAACCACAGCACACACTGTGACCCAGAACTTCCTGGATAATGGTTGTGTTTTGAACTAGTTGTGAAAATAAACTTTGTGAAGGGTTGTTTCCAACCCCTAGTGTCTACCTTGTCGCACCACGGCAAAGTACTTTGCCAACTGGAATTGTTGAGTGGGATTTTTTTTTTTTTGGAGGATAAACAAAGGTAAAACGAAGTTTAAAATCCTCGGAGATCTTCTATGGCTTCTGGTCTCCCAGCTAGGAGCTGCTAACAATGTACAATGTTGCTGTTTCCATTCTGACTGCTCTTCGGAGGAAGAAAAAGTTCAGCTCCAGTGTTCCCTGTGTCTCCCAGGCTCGCACACTCGCGTGCGCGCGCGTACAACACACACACACACACACACAACACACACTCGCAAACTCCGGCTCTGCAGAGATCGGCAGCCCACCCGGAGCAAAGCGGCGTGGGTGGAGAACCCGGGAGTCTCTAGCGAGGCAGACACTTGCCGAGGGGCCAGCACGCGGCAGTCGTTCCCTTTCGCGACCCGAGCTCCTTTCTGGCCGAGATTTGCAGATTCCACCACTAGAGCGACTTTGGCAGCTTCACAATGGGCCGCTTCTCAAGGTCTGCCCGCAGCCCGCCACCAGACGTCCTTTCCTACGCTTCCCACCCGCCCCAAAGTCCACCCGCGACAGGTGGGGCGAGGGCGGCGGTGCCCGAGACATCTGCCGCGGGAGTTTCGAGCCAGCACCGGGCCGCGATCCACAGTCCACAGACGCCACCACCGGATGGCCCGTGGGTCCCCAGCCACAGCGGCCTCGGCCTCGCCCGCAGGGTGCAGCTCGCACAGGGCGGGCGCGATAAGGTCGTCTGGGCTGTCGCCAGGCGCTATCTGGCCCCCGCAGTCCTAAGCCCGCACACCGTTGGGGACAGAGGCGCGACAGGCCGGGCAAGAGCTACTTCTCAATGGGCCTCCTGGGCCTGTCGCCTGGCGCTGCGGGCACCGCGAGCCGCCGAGCTGGCGCGCGCCAACGCACCCAGACTTCCGCACCTCGGCGCCGCGGGAGCGCCGCTCCGGGTCGCAGAGTCCCCCGCACCGCACGGCGGCGGCGAGCGCAAGCCTGCTCGCCCGCTCGCCCGCCCGCAGCGCGCACACCGGGCGCACGCCTCCGCACACTCACACGCGCCGCACACTCCCGGCGTCGCCCGGCCCCACCCCTGTGCCAGGAAGCTGCGGGCTCTCGCACCCCGCGCGGGCCCCACCCCAGTCTCCAGACCCCAGCCTTGCATCCGCACTGGGGCTCAGGGACCGGCCCCCTTCGAAGCCGGTTGCCACCGAGGCTGCCATGCCAGCCACCCAGCAGGCCCCCAGCGCTGCACACACACACACACACACACACACACACACACACACACACACACACACACACACACAGCTCGCCCAGCCCGGACACGAGGCGAGGAGGAAGGGGCGGCGCCGTGCCTGGGGCTGGCACAGTGGCTCGCCGGCTGGGGCACCCACACTCACGCGCGTACCCCACCCATCACCACCGCCACCTCTGCAGCACAAAAGGTTGCAGAAGGAGTGGCGATCCCCGTCCCACGTACCAGTGATCCAGGGTTCCGCCGGCTCCTCTTCGCCGCCGGCCGCAGAGCCGGAGCCAAGGGCGGGAGAGGCGCGGGGCTGCGGCGCCGAGGTGCGGGCAGAGGCCGCCAGCCAAGCCAGCCGGGTACCCGCTGCTCTCCCACCGCGCTCGGCACCAGCTCCGGCCCGCCGTAGTCCCGCCTCCTCCCCCGCCTCCGCCCGCCTTCCCGCCTCCTCCCTCCCTCCCTCCGGCTGCGGAGGCGAGGCCGGTGAGCGCAGAGCCCGCCTCCTGCGCCAGGCTCGCACGCTCTGAAGGGCGGACGGCGGGACCGGGCGCTGGGCGACCGGCGGGAGAGCGCAGAAGGGGATGCGCGCGGACGCGAGGCGGCTCGCGTGATGCCGCCACCTCTCCCAGACGAAAACCCCGCGCTCCCGCCGACGAGTCGCGGCAGCTCGAGGGCCTGGGAATGAGGACGGCTCTCACTGAAGCGGCGTGCTGAGCTGTGTGGGCATGGCTGTCATTTGGGAGTTTCTGCTGAGCCGAAGTTGAGGAGAGCAGAAGCCCGTGGAGTTACAAATTACACTGCAATTCTAAAAAAGAAGGAGAGAGAGAGAGAGAGAGAGGGAGAGAGAGAGAGAGAGAGAGAGAGAGAGAGAGAGAGAGAGAGAGAGAGAGAGAGAGAGAGAGAGAGAGAGAGAGAGAGAGAGAGAGAGAGAGAGAGAGAGAGAGAGAGAGAGAGAGAGAGAGAGAGAGAGAGAGAGAGAGAGAGAGCTATATAGGGGGAGGGGAAGGCCAAATTCAGTTTCTGAGTCATTTGTTTCTCTTCTGTTTTCCTTCCTTTCTTCCCTCCCCCCTTTTTTGTTTTTCTTCACAAGGTCTCTCTCTGTAGCTTAGACTGGGCTCAGACTGCGGAGAAGCTCGAGGTTTGCAGGAGTGACTGACATGCCATTCCCAACAAGTTGTTCTTTTCTCTATCCGTGTGCCTCTCCCCTGGCAGAGCCGTTTAAACGCAGCACACAAATATTTGCTGATATTTATTTGGCTCTAGGTGCCAACCCTTTTGACAGACAGTTCCACGTTTACATCTTTCACCTGTTCTCATCTGCATTTTACACATACAGAAAACAAGAGGAACTTTCTTACAGTCACAGACTTAATACATGGCTGGGCTGTTTATGCGCTTGTAAATGTAAATCGGAATTCCAGTCTTCTGTGGTCTTTGAAGGGGTGCTTTATCCGAACACAAAGAATCATAAATTTAGACTAGTACAAACTAAACCAAGTCGTTTTTGTTCCAGAGCCTATATATGTCCCCAACAATATCAATAAATAGAAACACTCTGGATCCAAGAGACAGCTTCTGGTTTCCCTGAACTGAAGGATGTTTACTGGATTGCCTCTCCTGTGCTCTGATGTAAGTGTCAGAAAACGGAAGGAAGAGGCCAGATTCATGAATGTTCTCAAAATAATAGTTACTCTTCCCCAACGTGGTACACATGCAACTTCTCCCATAACAGACCCTAGTGCATCATACTGGCATTGAAAGCATAAGCAGTGGGATTTTCTAACATTTATTTTTTAGGTTGTCGTTTTTTGTTTTTCTCATGGTACCTTAGGAGAAGGCACTGGGAGTCATTTCAGAATTTGAATCAATCACGGTAGTGTATTGTTATAAATGTTCATTCTTGTACATCTAAATCTACCTGAAAACATTACATTTTACTTTAAGGAGCTTGATTTCATTTTCCCCTGGCTGGACTCATAATCTTTTCAGGAGAACACCTTGTAACTTGGCCTCCTTTGTTCTGAAAATTTAGCAATGTTCTTTGGCCAGAAGCAATAAAAGCCGGACTGGCCTCTCGGCTCAAGGCTAGCTCCACCAGCAGGCATTATCTCCAACTGTTTCCCTCGCCAGGTGGTGCCCCGTGTTCCAATCTCTGAGATTCCTTACACAGTCAAAAGTTAGGTTAGTTCTTGAGTGTCACAAAGAATACCTATTCACTAGGCAGGCATGGCTCCTGTGGGGTCAGGTACCACAAGCGGCCTCCACAGAAGTAAAAGCTAGGGAGGCATCTATGGCAAGGAGAGAAGGGAAATGTGCCCCCAGAGTCTCCTCTCCTGATACCCACAGGTGTCCCCTAGGCTATGGAATCCATCCGTCACACTTTTCCCTTGTCCCTACCAGAGCTGCCACCCAGAGTAAGGTGTTGCTGTGTGCATGTCCATAGATGGCGTGGCTTTGACTTAAACATGTGATCCCTACTTTCCGGTCTTTTGCACTCTTTCTTTGTTTTGGTTTCTTTTTGAAACAGGGTCTCAGTTTAGTCCAGGGTGGCCTGGAACTCATTATGTAGATCAGGCTGCCCTTAAACTCATAGAGATCCTCCTGTCTCTGCCTGTCAAGTGCTAAGATTAAAGGTGGGTGCCACCATGCCCAACTCTTTTCCTCTCTTCACTACTTAAAGTCGAAGCAATATTGAGATCTGGGGCCACACTGCAGAGCATCCCACATCCTCAGTCATTCATATTTAGGACACTGTGGTATCCTTAGAGGTGAGCCTCAAATCCCAGGATCCCAGGATTGGCTGCTACTCTCTTGCCCTCCTTTCTGGCTATAGGAAAATCCCTCTCAGGAAAGGTCTTTCTCTTCCTTCCATCTTTCCAATTGCTTTGCCAGCAAACTCTGCCCACTTTTTGGGATCCAAGCTTTGGGCAACTAATGGTAGTAAGAAAGAAAAAATATCCTGAGGGTGATGCCTGTATTCCCTGCCACCTAAGGATAAGCCCAAAGTGGATAGACTAATGTCTCAAAATACTTACCCAGCCACTGAAGCATAAGGCGAGGAATGTCGTTGACTGTGTTGAGGGAGGAGGCAGAAGGAGCACAGGTGAAGTACGTCTGAATTGCCCGTCGAGGCTGTGGGCTATGATGCTGGAAATGTTGGGTACAAGCTTTGGTGGGAGCTCCCGGCTGTCTGTCAGCTCCCATCAGACAGTGTGTGGCACACACTTCAATCTTCCCTCTTGTCAATGCAGTGTGTTCACAGAGCATTCTTTACCAGCACCTCTTTATCAGCCAGACTCATCCCTTGATGTCCTCAGAGTCCAGCATCATCAGATGCGGTACCCTGAGTTCTGAGTCTGGTCAACCTGTGTTCTTTCATTGCCAAACACTTTGTACATGGTGCTGGGATAGACTGCATATTTCTCTGCACTGGACGGTCCCTGAGACTTACGTTCTGATAGGTGTTTAGCCGGTGTTCACCTCTTTTCACAGAGAGGGCGAGAGA